TAGGATTGCTAGGAGTTGGAATTGACTCAACAGCAATGGATTTTTTTTTTTATGATGGTAACAAGTATGTCACTGATAGTTGACAAGTTCTACACAGTAGGTGTCTGTAATTTGAGCAGTTACAATGATCTTTTTTCTTTGCCTGAGTTAAGGAAATAGAAAATTGATGTTTTAAGAAAACTTCCCTATCATAAAGTGCATAAAAGAGTAAACATTCTCTATCAAAAAGTAGATGAAATTTCTCATGTGCTTCCTCTTCATTATCTTGATCAAGGAGTTAGTTGATAATTCTCCCATGGAATATTTACAGTTTAACATAGTATTATAGAAGAGAAAAATTTAAAAAAAAAACTTCCACATTGACAATAAACTTAACTCATGATACAGAAAGGTTAAATCTCTAATGGTGGAATTTTACATTTTAAGGTATCACTAAATAAAAACCTGTTGCCATCGAGTCGATTTTGACTCATAGTGACCCTATAGGACAGAATAGAACTGTCCCATAGGTTTTCTAAGCTGTAATCTTTACGGAAGCAGATTGCCACATCTTTCTCCCACAGAATTGCTGGTGGTTTCCAACCGCTGACCTTTCGGTTAGCAGCCAGCACTTAACCACTGCAGCACCAGGGCTCCTTTTAAGGAATTGCTAAGGAGGAACATTTTAAGCAAATACATCTTATTGGCTATCCTCTAATTAAATCTTGTCAGCTTATTGACCTTTTGGCTCTTGTGGGTTGCTGGCCTGACTATTATAGAAGAGTTTCTGTAAATACCATATGGCTTACAATTCCTGGACAATGGGGTGTTTCCATATTCCACATACGTGCAACTCTCTTCTGTGTCTTTTTTATTTTATTGTATTAAGAAATGTCACACCAAAGACACAAGGAAAATAGTAGCCCAAGAGACAAAAAGTCCGCATAAACCAGAGACTCCACCAGCTGAGACCAGAAGAACTAGATGGTGCTCAGCTACCACCATGATTGCCCTGACAGGGAACACATCTGAGAGTCCCAGACAAAGCAGGAGAGAAGTTCAGAGCAGAACACAAATTCACATAAAAACACCAGACTTAATGATCTGAAAGAGACTGGAAGAACCCCCAAAACTATGGCCCTTGGATGCTCTGTTAACCCAGAACTAAAACCATTCCTAAAGCCCACTCTTCAGAAAAAGATTAGACTGGACTATAAAACAAAAAACAATACTTGTGAGGAGTGTGCTTCTTAGTTCAGTCGGATACACAAGACCAAATGGGCGGCTCCTGTCCGGAGGCAGGATGAGAAGGCAGGAAGGGACAGGAACTGGTTGAATGGATACAAGAAACCTGGGGTGGAAAGGGGGAGTGTGCTATCACGTTGTGGGTATTGCAACTAAAGTCACATAACAATATGTGTATAAATTTTTGTATGTGAAATTAACTTGAGCTGTAAACTTTCACCTAAAGCACAATTTAAAAAAAAAATTACAAAAAAAAAAAAAAACAGATGGGGAAACTGAGACCAAGACAGGTGAGCTGACTTGCTCGGGATCACAGAGCCACAGGAAAAAAAAAAAAAAAAAAGAAATGTCTACAAAGCCTACACATAGTGTGAAGAGGTGAGCCTAGGGCCTAACAATAGTTGGCTAAGATAGGCTCATCATCTAGAAGATCCCTAGATTACCATGGACCAGGTTAAGAATTCACATCTACCTCCACCCCCTAAACAAATGTCTAAGAGGTGAGTTGTATCTGAATGGGGCCATTCTACTTGGGTTCTATAGGTTTGAAATACCCAGCAACTTAATGCCAGCAACCAGAAGGTCTTAGAAGCCACTGTGTGACGAATTCACTGTCCTGGAGACTGTACAGCAGGCTGGGATCAGGGAGGAGTAGAGTAATGGGGGGTACTAAAGTAGAGCTACCTGAGTAATTGAGAGGAACAAGTAAGGACCCCAGTTTAGAGGAATGGATTAGTAGGAAAGGATCCAGGCATAATTCAAGTGCCTGAAATTTGAATATGAGCTCAAACCCACTTGCCTGTTCAGGAACAGAATGGAACCAGCAATCAATACCTTGTAATTCCTGAGCCTGTGGACAAGTCTTATTCTAGTGCCTAGGGTTTTAGCCCAGGCTCCTTTAAGAAACATTGCTTGAGTGCTCTACTAAATGCCTGGCTACAAGCAGGGCATAAAATAGCAACAAGATATAGTTTTTTCCTTCTCAAATCTTACATATTAGTGGAAGGTACAGACAAGAATGTAGTTTCAGAAACGAAAATCCCAAACTCTGTTGGGATTGAAAGAAAAGGAATTTTATTGAGGAATAATACAGCCTGAGCTGGGCTGCCCTAAGTAAAAATACAAAGCACTCCAGCATTCAGGCAGAGTTGTTGTTGTTAGGTGCCATCCAGTCGGTTCCGACTCATAGTGACCCTGTCCACAACAGAATGAAACACTGCCTCATCCTGCACCATCCTCACAATTTTTGCTTTGCCTGAACCCATTGTTGCAGCCACTGTGTCAATGCATCTCATTGAGGGTCTTCCTCTTTTGTGCTGACTCTCTACTTTACCAGTCATGATGTCCTTCTCCAGGGACTGATCCTTCCTGATTTCTCAAGCAGAGAGAGCTGTCTGTATGCATACAGAACAAGGGAAAGCTAGGGGGTTAATTATAGATTAAGATCTGCTTCAGCTTGAAGTCCTTTGAAATGTAAAGGTCAGCCACTTGGCTAGGAGGGAGTGAGTTACCACCTAGATGAGAAGTGCCAGCCAGTCTGGTTATACATGACTGCAGTCATGAACACGTTTTTCCTGTAAACAAATTGTTTACACCTTGACACATTCTTCCCATGAACAAATGGCTTACATACTGACCTTTTGCTTCCTAGGAATACATGTTAGCCCTGTCATTCTGACGCCTGACACGAGTGCCTCTTTCTGTTTACAGTCGACAATCACAATGCAGGGTGATAAGGTCATGTGCCTAAAGTATGCATTACTATGGTGCATGAGTCAGAACATCTTACTAAGACTTGATGGAGTTGGAGAGGTCAGAGAGGCTTCCCAAAGGGACTGAAGTCTAAGCTAAGACCTGAAGAATGGGCAGAGGCAGGGACGCTGCTAAGACATATGCCAATTGTGCCGAATGAGCAGGAGGTGCCTCTTCTAGGCCAGTAAATTACAGAACGGTAATTTTCAAAAGGTGCCCCTTCTTTTGTGGATTCTTCCCAGTGCCTGGACACAAATTTTGGTCAACTGAACGGGCGCTCCTCACTTCTTTGGCCAAGCTATCCAGTGCAGAACACAACCGGTTACGTCGGTTTGACTGTCTATCTGATTGAGGTGTGTTTCAAGTACAGGGTAGAGCAGAGGAGAAGGAAGGCTTCACAACTAAAGAGTGTGGCTCTTGAAAATTGGAATGTGGAAGAAAATCAGCCTCATTGGGGTGAAAATGTTCTGGAATTATCTTCTCAGTTTCTGACAGCATCAGGGAACATACAGGGTGAACTACAGAGAAGCCACCTGCTGGGATGCACAACACTTCTTTAAGCATTTGCCAAGATGGAAATTTGACCCACAAGGCTTGTGCTTCCTGGAGTGAATCTACTTGTCACTTTACCCATTAAGATTGTGTAACATGGTTTCACAATAGCAAATCAGAGTAAGGCTGTCGATGTTATGCACGATTACAATAGAAACAGAATGGCTTAATTAGTAAAAAATTAACCGACATGATTCCTATAAGTAAAAATGTACATATTTAAGGAGGCTTATTATAACATTTATACCCTTTATTTTATAATATACTAATTCGAATGTAAAAGTGAATGTAAATTACTAGAAATTAACATGCAATGTGAAGAAAAGTCCTTTTATCCTCTGCAACTGTAGCACTTGGCAGATTCAGGAATAAATAATCTTTTGTGGCAAGGGTATGCCTTATCAAACATATGCAGATCAGCACTAATTAATGCTAATTAAGGTTTCCTGTCTATCTAGTTGGAAAAACGTCCAAATGTTATGAAATCCAGTTAGTATGCCTATTACACTAATTGTTTTATATGGGGTGGTTCTTAATTAAAATATGTAAATTGACCTTAATTGCTATATACTAATGGGGGTTCATGTTATCTCACTAAAAGTGACAAGATGGTGAGGAGGGGTACTTAAATGACTAATTCTGATAAATCCTTAACTAAATGACCTTTACTCAAAATTAATTGTAATTGGAAGTTGGCAAAAGAAACATTTTCCTTCTTTGTTTCTTTTTAGTTTTAAGTAATGTAAGAATGTTACTCTTCTTTGTTAATACAGCTTTAGAATACAGCTTTAGAAGCTGTTGTAGATTGTTAATTACATTTAACAAGCAAGTTGATTTTACTGTTTACTGTTTATAGTTATCAGGAAGTTACTGATATTCTCATTTCTGCCTTGGGAAAAGTGACTTTCTTCTCACTGAATATGAATTTACAGTTACAATGAGATCGGTAATTTGATGCAGTTACTTTGTTAGTGTTTGTGTTAAAGTTTGATAAGCCAGTAGTACTAATATCTAGCTGATTTACATTGGAATTAGTTTTTAGCAAATATATATGTATATTTTACAAACATTAACTCTTATTGGAGTTAAAATGAAATTAGAGATTCTTAGATTTAATAGAGTGAAATAATATTATTGCAATTTACCTATCATGTTTTTATTTATTACTTAATTGCAAACAAATTAAAATATTTATGCCCCAAACCAGTGTAAATGAATTTAAATATTTTTATTTTTTCACTATGCTAAACCTAGAATTACAAAAAAGTAACTAAACCTAACAGATATTTTATTTTGCCCTTTCATTTCGAAGTAGTTCATGTTCAACTGTAATCTAAAATGTACTAAAAAATTATTCTGTAAACATATGAGAAAGGATTTGGTAAAATATTGTCCAACGGAAATAAGTATATAATAAAGATCATAGTTTTTCTTTGTCAAACGGAGACCTAATATCTCTATTCTTTCATCAGGACATTGTGACTAATGTTTCACCCAGAATCATCCGAGGGACCACCTCTGGCCCCATGTATGGCCCTGGACAAAGCTCTTTCCTGAATATTGAGCTCATCAGTGAGAAAACGGCTGCATATTGGTGTCAAAGTGTCACCGAACTAAAGGCTGACTTTCCAGACAATGTAAGTGTGATTTAACGTCTAAAACAAGAGAATTGGCGTAAGTTGGTGAATGTTTATTTAAACATCCAATTCATAGGCTTATAAATATTAATGTGTATAATATATTTTATTAAAGAATCTGCCAGTTGCTTTGCTGCATAGAAGATAAAAAAAAGAAAGAAAAGCTCAAGAGCTCATGAAAATCTATACAATGCCAGGCTTTGTTATAAATGGGTGCCATGTAGATAGAAGAAGTATCTACATAAGCAGAAGGAAAAGAAATGAAATACTCATTTTATTGCATTGGTTTTCACCATATGTGGCTAGTATTTATGAAGGCGATGACCTCAGGAAGAAATTGCAAGCTATAAATCATTTTAAATATAAACCTGAGGCAGAATATCTTCTAAGAGTTTTTTTTTTTTTAAGTAGGAAATAATTTACCAAATAATTTTAACACTTGTATTCTAAATGAGTCAAATATCATTTATAAAATCTTTTTTAAATTTTTTTTATTTTTAAAGAACCATGTACAAATATTACAGTAAAATTAGGCTTGTTGTTGTTGTTAGGTGCCATTGAGTCAGTTTCGACTCATAGCAACCCCAGTGACACCATAGAATGCATTTCTTTGTAGATTTTTATGTTGCTGCCCTGGTGGTGCAGTGGTTAAGCACTCAGCTGCTAACCGAAAGGTTGGCGGTTCAAACCCACCAGCTGCTCTTCTAGAGAAAGATGTGGCAATTTGTTTCCATAAAGATTACAGCCTTGGAAACCATACGGGGCAGGGAAGTTCTCCTGTGTCCTATGGGGTTGCTATGAGTCGAAATCGACTCAACAGCAGTGGGTTTGGTTTGGTTTGGACACAGCAAATGTATGATAAAGCTGGAATTTGAACTTGAAATTTGCTTTTAGTATCTATGCTCTTGTCTAATAATAGTATTCTGTAGTATACCTGCCTATGGTGCAATATCATTTCAGGCCCTTAAAAATTCAGTATTACTTTTTAATGCAACATCAGAACTGTGTGCAATATAATTTCCCAAATATTGCTTCAGTAGTATTTAGATAATTCAATGTGTCTTTAAAAAAAAAAAAATCCCTTTTCCTATAAACTAACTCCCACCAATGACTTGTCTTGAGCTCTTGAGCAGGAGTAAGATGTTATAATAATGACAAAGAAATGACAATAAATGGATAAGAAAGCTGAGATGAAACCTTCACTTTTTGATTCCACAGTCAAATAGAAAAAGAGGCACATTTAAACGTTCTTTTCAATTTTCCTGGCAACAATTTTCCTCTATAATGCTTGCCTTTTTCTTCTGAGAAAACAATGCATGGTTTTCTTCTTTCTAATTTCTTCTTCAGTTAGATTATACTCATCTTCCTTTTCTGTATTCTTTGAATTAATTTCTAACATTTTTATTCCCTATATAAGGTTGCCGTGAGTGGGAATCAACTTGGCAGCACACAACAAAAATAACATATCAAAGATAACATTTTAAATACAATTAAAATAGCATTCCCATTTGATCCCGTAGAAATAATGTGTGTGCACCTAGATATTGCCATGCTGAGAGCAGAATATCCCCCACTGTTTTGGAATTACTCTGATGCCAAACCCAATGAGCTGAAGGAAAGAAAGTGACCCTTCATTTTCCAAGTTTAATTATCACTCTCACTGGAGTTTTCCCACATCATTCTCAAGTGTGTGGCTGCCACCTTTAATGACAGGGATTGGATAATTCAACCCACTGTGGCAGCTTCTAAGCAAAGGCCAACTTTTCTGAAAAAGAAACTGTGCTGGGGAGACATATAGGTCAGCTAATATCAGCAGCCACTGTCTCTGATTCAGAGAAGGTAGACACCAGTTGACCATGAACCAGAGGGATTTAGATGAGACAGCTGGAAGAACTTGAATATAAAGATCATCTAAAATATACCGTGAAGACTTGTTTAACTATCACAGTAATACTAGGTATGTACTAGGCTCATGCTAGACTTCTGCTTGCCTTTCAAGGTTCCCTTTTATTTATCTGTGAATTAAACTGCACGCTGATCATTGTAGTGACAAACGGAGAGATTTTTTGTTCTTCAGCTGAGATTTTGCAATGCTTATTGTGGAATGTACTGTATAATTAAGGCTTACAGAGATCGATTTTAAGTGAATCCTTTCATTCTCACTGCAAAAGTCTCACAAATCATATATTTTAGGCTTGGAAAAAAATTTTACCAAAAAATACATGCTCTAATTTGTCTGAATGCACTGGATTATCAAGCAGAGACTGACATTTTCTATTATTTGTGGCAATGAAAGTAAGAGTTGGGCAAAAGATAGAGATTCAGCAGTGAATCAACTGGTGAAGATAGAAAAGGGAATGATGGCTTTTTTAGAAAAATTCATAAAGGAAGAACAATTGATATGTAAATATAGTTCTGTTACAGTACACCTCATTTCTGCTGAAACCTTTTCTCAGTTAATTACTGAGAGATCAGCGTTGCACACAGTAAGTTCAAAATGACTCCAAAGAAGTTGATCTTCATCAACACTCCTGAAGGTTCTTTCCTCTATATGCAGGGCATTTAACCTTTTTTCTTTTTTCTTTTTGGTGACCAGGGACCCCTTTGGCAGTTTGGTAAAGATTAAGGACCACTTTTCAGAGTAATGTTTTTAAATGCATTAAAGTCTTTTCAGATTATAAAAGATTCCCATTATATTAAAATAACATTTTCAAAATATTTTTTAAAAATATGTGACATAGTACTATGTGTTACTCTTTATTAAGGCTTTAAATGGCACAATCTAGCAACAGGTCTCATACCTACTGTAATTTTGATGTAAAGGTGAGCATAAATGATACCTTGAGATATCTGCAACAACTGTATGATGATTTTCTGTGATGTCTGTTGGTGCAAAGTTACAAGTACTGATAATACTACTGTCATTTGTTGCAGTCTTAACTGAGGAAATGCTAAATTTTAGTAGGAATAAAGAGGGAATTTTTTTCACCCAAGTTCATGGCTACCGTGTGTTCTGTCAAGGGGTTTGTGGACCTCAGATTTAGAACCTGTCTCCATTGATTCTTATTGCTGGTTGTACATAAAAATCACCCGGAAAGCTTTAAAAGTGTGATTATAGCCCTGGTGGCACAGTGGTTAAGCACTCGGCTGCTAACTGTAAGGTCGGCCGTTAGAACCTACCAGCCGCTCCACGGGAGAAAAATGTTGCAGTCTGCTTCCTTAAAGATTACAGCTTTGGAATTGTATAGAACAGTTCTACTCTGTCACATGGGGTCGCTATGAGTCAGAATTGACTCAACAGCAAAGGGTTTGGTTTTTGATTTTTATGACTCAACCCTGCAAAAGACCTCTTTAAAGTGTTAAAAAGCAAAAATGTGACCTTGAGGACTAAGGTACACCTGATCCAAACCATGGTATTTTCAATCGCCTCATATGCTTGCAAAAGCTGAGCAATGAATAAGGAGGACTGAAGAAGAATTGATGCCTTTGAATTATGGTGTTGGTGAAGAATTTTGAATATACCATGGACTTCCAGAAAAACAAACAAATCTGTCCTGGAAGAAGTACAGCCATAAAGCTTCTTAGAAGCATCGATGGTGAGACTTCGTCTCGCTTACTTTGGACATGTTATTAGAAGGGTCCAGTCCCTAGAGAAAGACATCAGTCATGCTTGGTAAAGTAGAGGGTCAGTGCAAAAGAGTAAGACCCTCAAGGAGATGGATTGAAGTAACAACGATTGTGAGGACTGGGCAGGATTGGATAGTGTTTCATTCCATTGTACATAGGGTCGTTATGAGTCGCAACGGACTAGACAGCACCTAACAACAACATGTGTATTTATGTATATAAGTATGTATGTGTATATGTATACGTGTATATATGTGTGTGTATTTTTTTTTTTTATAAAGCTGGTCAACTGATTGTACTCCATATACAACCAGTGTTATTTATGACCCTTGACATATATCGTTAAATATTTTTAAAACCCCTATATCAGAACTATTTACTATGAGCCTTTCATATGTGCCAGGCTCTTCGCCAAGGGCTTTATTTTATCAGTGAAACAGACGTTTCCCCATTCTACAGATGTGGAAACTGATGGCGCTAGGACTAGAAGAGTTTCCATCACAACTTGAAGAGGTATTCCATTTGCGCCTAAGGAGCCTGAGGAATTAAGAAGATATGTTATTCCTATCCTAACATAGGGTTGCTATGAATCATTTTGACGGCACACAGCAACCACAACAACAGTCCTCTTATACTCACTCAGATCAGCTAATTATATTGAGCACTCTTAAGACTCTTTAAATAGAAAAAACCATCTTGTTATTTGAAAAAGAAGTTCTGTCATTAACCAACCAATATTTTTTCTTTAGTGCTAGCGTATTATCCCTTTGCATTAATGTAACTGTCTAAAGAAGCCCTGGTGGCACAATGGTTAAACACTTGGCTGCTAACCAAAAGGTCAGCAGTTCGAACCCACCAGGGGCTCCATGGGAGAAAAGACCTGGTGATCTGCTCCTGTAAAGATTACAGCCTAGAACACCTTGGTCAGTTTGACTCGACAGCGCCTAACAACAACATAGAAAACAAGGTCAGTGACTCTATTTGGATGTTGGTTTGAACTGTAACATAGCCTTATCTTTAGTTCTTCATTGAAAAAAAGTAAAGCTGAAGGACTAAGTCAGATCTTAAGGTATCTGCAAGCATACAGGTTCTCTGCATATTCCCTGAAGGTCCATCACCCTATAACCTTCCTACAGTCTTGTTACACTTTCCACCAAGGCTGTCTCAACAGAAGTAAACTTCCTTTTCTTTGGAGTATTTATAACTAAGCCCCAAAAAACCAAAAACGAAACCCATTACCATCAAGTCAATTCCAACTCATAGCAACCCTATAGGACACAGTAGAACTGCCCCATAGAGTTTCCAAGGAGTGCCTGGTGGATTCGAACTACTGACCTTCGGGTTAGCAGCCATAGCTCTTCACCACTACATCA